TCGCGTCCCACCTTCAAGGGGAGTGGGAGGCGAACGGTTGGTTCACAGCAGGCACGTGATGTAATTAAGCTGATGTGAAAGATTTTGACGTGGTGCGAACATTGCCTGCAGCAGGCAATTAAATTGATGCTCGACAGAGACAGACAGACAGCTTAACCCACAATTTTGGAAGCGTTCTGCCGCGACAGATTTATGAGAATCGCGCTGAGCAACTGCTGAGGGTTCCGCGGGGCAAAGGACAGGAGCATGGAGACAACTCACCTGACAACTGATACTGATCGTAAACGAACAAGCCAAACACTTTGAAATAAACATTTCAATTTGTTGCCACCGATGCTACTGCTGTTGCTGCCACTGCTGCTTGTGGCAATTTGGTGTGAAAAACTTGTAGATATTTTTAGATGTCGCCTGCTGCGGATTCTCCCCGCCAGCTGGCTCCCCACTCGCTGACTTTATGGCCATGTGACGGGAACATCTTCGTGCCAATTGCATGGCAGGCGAAATGTGTCAAGTGAGCGGTGACTGATGTGGCGAGTAACAAGCACCACACACTTCGACAGCAGCGCCCCCAGCATTGTGAAGAAGCACAGCGGAGCGTAATAAGCTGCACTTGCATATATCTAAAAAAAAAAAAACAAAATAACGATAATAATAAAAACCTTGCAACAAACGACTTAAGTGCAGAACAAGCATGGTGGTGTGCGGATCACTTAAAAAGGCGTTGCCTTCATTGTGGCAACTGTCTGAGACAGTTAACTCCACCCATTCCACGCCAGCAACTGTCACTGTCAATGTCTTCAGGACAAAGCTTGGTAATAATTTGTTTATGGACCTGTCTTTTTGGGTTTGGAAGCCCACCCAACCACCCAACCAAATACATTACACGCGCAATGCTAATCTGCTTTTAATTAAAAGCCAGAAACACAAGGCTCTAAGCAGCTTTTATGTGCCCCAACTGGAGCCTGTTCCAACTTGACTCGACACAACCCAAGAACTCGAGTCGACTCAACTCAAGTCAACTCGACCCAACCCGACACGAGTTCAGCCGAGCCGACTAATTGCCATTTGTTGACTTGGCCTGTTTTATTGTATCTGGCACTGCACTCGCATAAAAGTCATTTGTTTTTGGCCAAATATGTTACAGACAAGACATGCGCCGAAAGCGTCATGACTGTGGACCATGGATGGGGTGCGATGGCAATTACAATACAAATGTTTTCACTGACAACGACACGAAATGAATGACAAGTAGCATAGATGAATACACACATATATATATATATATATATGCATATGTATATATATATAAGTATGTGCTCGCGGGGCTGAGGTGCAAAAACAAAGTAGGCGAACACCACATGATGATAATTAACAAGAAAATACCCTGAGGACAATTGCAGAACAATAAATTTGGTTAAATAATGCAAATGTTTATTTAAAATAGCACTAGCATAATGCAAAAACAATGTAAATAAAAACATGTAAGCATGTATTATGTGAGAGTGTACTTTATATTTATACATTATTATTATGTTTGTCATTGCTTTGAACATCTGTCCACGTTTCTGAATGTACCTGTGCTTCAATCCCAGCGACAATCAGATCAAGAATCACACATACTTGTTAAGATACCAGATTAAATCAAATGTATTTTACAACTACAATTGTTTATTCAAAAACCAAATACATGTACATACATAAACCTATGTACTATGTACTAAAGCCGCGTTAAGTATATATTTGTATCTATGAAAATGTATTCATAATTGACCGCGTAACTTATGTCAAATATCTAGATTCATAGTTACTTTTTGGAAATGTGTATCTCAAAAATGAAATAGCAAGAAAGAATTATAATTTTTGATGAAAGAGTCTGTGTAGGACTTTTGGTGCAGCACTCTAAACTAGCAATTGGAGTAATTCATTTTTATATTGATATGTATGTGTAACAAACATCAAAAACAGTGGTGCAAAAACATATTCCAACAATTCGAATACATTTCCTTTAAATATATAATTCTGTTAAGCTCACCGCATTAATGATTGATGACTAGATATTATTGAAAATCAATCAAGCTATGAAACATGTTCGCCTCTGGCAAAAAACGCATAGCCCTGGTAAATATGTCAAAGACAATTAATTATGAAATTCAGAAAGCAAAGCCAAACGCCCACAAAAACAAGCAAAACAACAATAGCACAAACACGATAAACAAAAAAAAAAAAGGAGAAAAATATATGAAAAATGCGACTGACAAAATAGTCTTTCATAATAATTTGTACAAACAAACACTAGGGAGTTGGGAGGTAGGGGTGGGAAACGACCTAGGAATGGGACTGACTGACTGTCTATGCGAACAAAGGTATAAATAAATCAGATACAATAGAGGGAAGGAGCGGCAACAATTATAAAAACAATGTTTTATTAAAAACGCCAGACAAGAGCAACTGTATCCATATTACGGAGCCAACCCATGCAGACAGTAAAAATATTGTTTGCCAGGGAGAAGTAATAATAATGTTGCTACTGCAAACACATGTTCACAGAGGCCATGCAATGCAACCGCACAACTAGGGGCAGCAGCAGCTGCTGCCAGCAGACACTGCCCCCGCCCGAGGATGCCCGATTTAATCAATAAACAAACGTAAAAATATGACAAACAAATTAATAAAATGCAACAATACAAACGATTTTAAACAAAGTTTCAAATAAAAAAGACGGGGAACACAATGACAAAATGTAATAAATGAATCTGCGTGTCGGCCTGTGAATGACAATGGGAGACAACTGAGAACAGGAGCCGATCCGACGAAGGGAGCACCCGGAGCTAAATATAGATGCCCGCACACCCGCCCGCGCTCTCTCGCCAACAGCTATTGTCGAGTAATTGTGACAATTTGGTCCCACACAAATGGCATAATAAATGTTGAGCGTAGGAAATGATGTGTGAAGTGCAGCTGATATGTCGGAATCCCAACCCCTCCTCTCCAGCATCCACCAACCCTTTGGTTGGCAGTTGGCGGAAGTGATTTCTGGTTTTATTGCACGACTCGCAATGCAGCAGTCAATCGCGGACTAACCAGACTACAGCCTATTACGAGGCATAATGCGAATCTCTGCAGCTGCTGCCGCAGATGATGCAATGAGCAGAACTACAACAATTATCAAATTGATAAGCCAAGTACAGATCAATGCGATAGTTCACAGCAGCAGCTTTGGTATACTCTATACATAAGTTAAAAGAAAAAGGCGATAAAGAAAACATAATTATTATTTTCTTCTATTCTTTTAGAATCCTATAAAAAGAAAATTGCATTTAGTTCAAGAAAATTTCAGTTTTATTTTAACAGGCATTCGAAGTTTTCCGCTTAAATAATTCAATGACTTCAAGATATAAGATTTTTAAGTACATATGCAGTGATGATAATAAAATAATATATTAACAAAACAAAGCGTAGAGTTTAAAAAAGTCGACGAAAATTCAGTTTTATTTGCTATAAAGCATTATTTGTTAACCGTGAAGTGTACCCCATCTCCAAGAGTTGATCTTTTGTCTATCCTAATTGTGCGTACATAGCAGCAAATTCGAAACCTATTCGATGGCAGACAACGAGTTGACGACAATAACAATTTGTGGAACCGGGATGCGCCAACCGGCAGTGGTAGTAGATTGAGAGCTTAAAGGATTTGGAAATGTGCATTTCCGGAATTGAAGCGCATAATTAAGCAGTCGCGGGATGCCATAAATAATGAAACGAGTATATTCCAAAATCCATTGGCAGCATCAATTAGGGTATCTGCCTTTGGGCTCAAGCCAAAATCGTGTGATTGTTGGCCAATTAGCTAGACACACATATATATATATATATATATATATATATATATAAGTATAAGATGCATATGTATGTTTGAGCAGCTGAATGGAGCGCATAGCGATTGACCGCCGAAAGGTCAAAGCAAATGCTTATCAGAGTGCCCCATGGAGGCCCATAAATCAAGCGCGAAACGGTGGCACGTGATTGCCGCTGCAGCAATTGTTTGACTCGATGGGTGTGAAGGGGGAGGGTGGAGAGGAGGGTGCTGCACTTGCCTGGTCATAAATTACGTATTTAGAGCTTGCAATAAAATTAATATTTATTTTTTTTTTGGCTAGGCTGCGCTGCTTTGTCAACAACTAATTGAAACATTATTCTCTGTCTCTTTCCAGCTAATTGCAGGGCAGACCATTAGGAAACATTGTTCGCTCAACAGAGTGAGTTTGTGTGTGTGTGTGTGTCAGTGTGGACAAATGTGTCTGCCACATGAAACAATTAGAGGCAACAGTAAAATCGGCTATAAATGTCAACGGACAAATATTTTCGCGGAAAAGCAGCCGAAACAGCGGAAAACCTAGCAAGCAACAAGAGACAATTTCCACTCAACACTTGGCAACATGCTCCCAGGCAGCAGCAACATTTCAAAATTGTTGCTAAGCGGCGATGGCAACAACAACATACCCTCAACCACTTCGTGTGTGTTCAGTCGCATTCGTATCTCTGTCGGCTACGTTTGTGTCTCTCTCGGTTGTGTGACGCGTTCGTTGTGACTTCACACAGAGGCAGCGACAGAGCAGAATGACGTATTGATATCAGATAAACAAAGCAGAGGGACGAATATACGGAGCGGAGTGATAGGAAATGCAGTCGTGCGTGCATCTGAAATCAAAATTGAAAATACGTAAACAATAAATCAAAATACAAACGTGCTGAAAAATCGACAAACATATATCAAATAAAATAAATGAATATTAATTAAATGAAATACCTTAAGTGAACAACGCAAAAACAAAACTCAAAGCATACAAATTTATTAATTTTAAAAGCCAATATACCGCATATATATACATACGTAAATATATATAATACAATAATAATCACATAGAACTACAAACAATAACAAAAGATGAAAAATGAGAAGAAACTTCTCTCTTATAGAAGAAACTTCTCTCTTATAAGCATTTACAAACAAGATAAGAGCTTAAGCGTTGTCGTAATGAATGAACACTGCCAAAAACTACATATGTAGCCAATGATTTATAATAATGGCCCCCAATGCAGACTAGATCCCAGACTACTGACTACTGACTACTGACTCCTGACTTCAGACTCCCCAGTGACAGCAACGCGCCAAATTAAGCTAAATCTGGCAAAGAGTGCGCCAAATTAATTAACTCGCTCGTCAGCTGCTCAACCCGCTGCACAACTCTGCGGTTCCATTAATTTCACACTTTATTAATGTCAAACGTCGGGTGCGGAGCAAGTGGGCCAGTGGCAAACGCTCGCAAAGTGTCCAAACAGCGCGACACGCTGACAATGTGGCAGACGCTATCAACGCTATCCACATCACTCACACTGCTCCCCACGTTACTCACTCATGCCACTGCTGGCTGTAAGTGTGAGCTCGGGCATCGCATCAGGTCAAAGCAACGCCCCAACATTAGTGGCAACAACACGGAAATGCAAAGTCACAGCCAGAGCAGCGGCAGCAATGCGGCCAACATGTTGCCATCAACATCAGCAGACATTGCGACGACAACGAGAACGACAACAGCAACAACAACGACAACAACAACGGCTGCAATAGCGGCAACAACAGCGATGACGCTGACAGCGACAGGAATAGTGGTAAAAACCGCGCGTAGGTGTCGCTGCTCCATGCCCAGAAACAGCAAAGTTGCAGCCAGCATCCTGCACTGGCTCCTACTCCTGTGCATCCTTTGCGGTAAGTACGAGCTAAAGCAGCCAACTAACAACCAAAAAGCCAACAAATGAGCTATGGTCAAAGGCCGTAAGTGACTTTTGGTAAAATCCGTTTAAGTGTCTCTGATTTAGTGCATCGCACAAAACACCCAAACATTTCCAGCGCCACACAGCCAAGCGATATAGAAATCGGCAAGAAACCAAAATAAAACAACGCCAAAACATGGAATAAAAAAAATTGTTGTAGCATTAGTCCTGCAATGGCTAACGAAAAAAATATATAAATCTCGCAGCAAAAATCAAGATGAATTTCCGTGCATTTTTGTGCAGATTTGTGTAGGGCTTTAGGAGCAAAAAGGACGCTGCACATACATATAGTGTATATGTATTTATATACGGCTAACATGAAAGGAACGCTCTCACTAGCGACATACACAAAGCGCTTGTCTGTTTGTGGTTTTTAGACCAAGTCTCAACTGCCACAGTAAGAAAGCAAAAAGAGCATTTCACAATGAACAGCAACATAATACCCTTTAAAAAAATACACTCACACACAAAAAAATTGATTTCATTGTTATTTTTAATTTATTTATTGCCATTTGTTTTGTCCACTTTTTTATTTTCATTGCTTGTTCAGTGAAAACAAAAAAAATAAATCAAACAAAAAAAAAAAGTTTAAATTAAAAAGGAATTAAATTAAATTAACAGAAATTAAGAATATCCCACATAAGTATTCAAATCAAAATTACTTCAAAATATATTATATGTTGCAACTCCCACTATACATATAAGCAGGGTATTGCTAAATGGCTATGCATGTGAGAGGAATAACATTTGAAAGTATTGCCAAGAAATAGAAGAAGATTAAATGGCAGAGAACAGTGCAGTAATGGCGGGGAGATCGTGAGAAGGCAAGGAGGAGATGGTTGCACAGCTGAGGCAGCAATAATACAAATTGACTCGTGTTTTTCATTTCTGTGTGTGTGTGAGTGAGTGTGTGTCTGTGTGTATGTGAGTGAGTGTGTGGTATGGTGTTGTTCTCACCATTTGCTTTGCTGCTTTCAATAATTTTACTTGATTTTGCAGCTGTAGTAGCTGGTGGCTTTTTTGCTATTGCTGTTGCGGTTGGTGTTTCTTGCCACTTAAAACTGAAATTAACTCCAGCACACGAAAGTGTGCAATGAAAAACGAACATGCCAAATCAGGCAATATTTATATACGTGCTTGGTATGTGTTAGAGTTGTTTGATTATTTCGTTTGGAAATGGATGCTGCAATCAATTATAGAGCACCACAAAGCGAAGAGAGAAGACAGAGAATCGAATTCGGTTAGCGAACCACAGCAGCCAAAGCAGACAGTGTGCCAAGAATAATGGCCAAACCAGCAATTGAGGCTTCGCCGCCGATGGCAGCGCAGCCATTTTTAAAGCCAAGTCTTTGTTATCGATTTGCAAAGCAAACCAAAGGCGAAATCGCTGTGCTATGCTAAAATAAACTGAAATCAATTTAGTTAAGCTCAATCAGCCACTCAACCGAGCAGCAGAAACGAGCAAGCCACCGCTCGGCCACCCAGCTAATCAAGATAAATAAATATTTACAATTAATTTAAAATATAAACACACCGAAACACAACGCGGCCGCAATTAATTTCGCGCCAGCAGCAGCAGTATCCGTAGAGTATAGCAGCAGTCGACAGATTTCCAACCCTATACTATTCGGCGTTACGTATACGCAATGTTGAACTAATCGACAAAGCTGTCGAAGACAGCCTTAGTTCTGATAACGCTCTCATCACAAAGTAGTTGCAGGCATATGAATAAATGAATGAACGCATGAATAAGCAATCAACTGTAATGACCAACGCCAACACCAAGTGTCCGACGAGGATGAGCAGTGGAGACAGCTTGGGGAAAACCAAGTGGCAAAATTAAGAAAATATATGCGCAACACAAGGTTAAAGCAAAGCAGACACGTTAAAGCATCCCAAAAGGGTCAAGCGTTCCCTTAAATGAGTGCCAGCTGTGGGCGGCAAATGCGCAGCTAATGAGTCCCACTCCCAGTCCCAGCCCCAGCAGCAGCAGCAGGTGTACGGCAAAAGTAACCGTTCGACAGGAATGTGCGTGAGCCTGTCCATCAGACTGACTGCCCCACCTGCTCGCCTGTCTGACTGGCTGAGCGTGCTTAATGAACTGCAATCAATGGCGCCAGTCGATAAGCAACGAAAAGCGAGTGATTGTGCGTGCAACATGAGGCTGGCCGCAAATGCGCACCGATATACATATATATACATATAAATATATATATATATACGCATTCACACATACACAAGAACGCACCGAAAATGATTTATACATGACGCTTTTTGCTCGGCTTGGCGCATTAATTACGTAAATTTTGTTGAAATTTATTTAAGCGCACAGCTCGATAGATTCAACGATTTCTGATATACTACACTTGAAAAACACAATTAAACATACAACATTCGCGAAATGAGTTTGCCGTAAATATACTCGCAGCAATTAATTGCAAATTATATTGATTGTCGATTTCAACAACAACAATAAGCAGCAGAGAGGCCTTTATTTAAATCTAAATTCTGCTGCTTTTTTATGTATCAAATCAACCGAATTAGACTGAAAATTCATAAAGAGAAGAAATAACGGGAAAATATTCATATACATATATATATTGACCATAAGCCCAGTGCACAAGCTCTTTAATGCATTAAGCATTATGCAATTCTTTTGCTGGACATGGAATTTAAATTAAATGCATGGCGTCCACTCCAAGCCAATAATAAAATCTTAAGCCAGAACATAAATCAAATAGTTGGTTATTGAGAAGCCCAAAGAAGAATACTGATAAAACTACGGTAAATAAAGTTGGCAGCAAATATTTAAAAAAAACTACCAAAGGATTCATTACAGAGAAGCTCAATTCTTTTACCGAATTGAATTGAATAAAAAAAATCAGTCAGCCTCATGTAGCAAAGAGCAGTGACAACCACTGCAACAGCACACACAATATTCATTCTTGTTTACGCTTATTGACACACAAAACGCACACACACACACATACACACACTCACACACACACGCACACACACACGTGCACAGCTTCGCACACTTGTGTTGATGGGAAAAGAGGATATGGCACAGATGCAGCTGTTACTGATGTTCATGCTTTGACAAGCTTAATAATGATGACTGTTTGACAAATGTTAAAAAGCCAGCATTCACTTGACTTCAATAAAAACCCAGCTACAGTAGATAAAACAAAAATATATGAATTTTCGAAAAGGCACAAATAGAAAACGAAATCAAATAAACCAATTTTATTTGATTTCACCCTAAGTGCATATGAGAATATATATAGTATTCAAGAAATGTAAATATTAATAAAAATCGATAGTAAAATGAATTTATACATCTGTTATTAGTTTTCATTTTTTTAATTTTGGCGTTTGGTTTTTAATATATTCCTGACAAAATGGAGAATTTCCAAATTCTTCAAAATGAAATGACCGCTATCCAATAAAACAAACTATTTACTCTGAAATGATTATTTTTCTGAAAAGATGATCATGGTTATGGTTAACACTGTCAAACACATTTGAAAACCATAAACTGCGTAGAATGGAACTCAACTTTGCAGAACAAATTTGAGTATATTAAAACAACGTAAAAACCATCCAGTATATAAGCCCAAGCCCAAACGCGCACACAGCAGACACAGCGGCACCCAGCCAGTTGGCATTAGCCATAAATGTTGACCAAAAATATTAGTTGGATGGCCAAGTTCTCAGAGCGTATAAAAACTTTTTAACATTTCAATTCCAAATTCAACACATAATTATATCTTGCTATCTCTCTCTAGCCATCAGACCCCACTTTCTCTCTGTCTCTCTCTCTCTCTCTCTCTCTCTCTCTCTCTCTCTCTCTGTCCCTTTCTCTCTATTCTGTGTGCAGTGGTCAGTCGCAATGTGTCAGCAACTTTTCAAAATTGTAACAGTGCCAATTTGTCGAAAGTAGCGTGTCCCATCCTATGTTCCTGCGTCCTTCGTCCTTTCGCACAGCCAGCATGCGATTTGTAATGACAATTCAACTCAAATTTTGCTGCTCTCAAATTATGCAAACATTTTGCTGGCACTGCTCATTCACAGTTGATATGTAAATTCACATAATTTTTACGATGCTTATGCATTATGCTAAATAATTGAAACTCATTCTTTGCAATGAGAGGGGCGTGACAGAGTTGTTGGTTATTTTTGCAATTTGTGTTGTGTTAATTATCGCAGAATGCTGTCAAAATTAATTACAGCCGTTAGCCAAAGTGAGTCCCGCATACGTCCGTGTGTGTATGTGTCTGTTGTGCGTGTGTTAATTTTGTGCATTTTGTTTATTGTTAGGCACGCGTAACTACGTGAAGAATTCATATGTTAGCATTTGTTATGGTTAGCTGAAAATTGCTCAACTAAAAATTTAGCCAGTTATTGGATTTTCCGCGCAGCCAAACGATAAAGTAATTGACAACCATGTGGAAAGAACAATGAGAAAACTGTAAAAGTTGCGAGTGCATTGCTTTAAGAACAAAACATTAAAACTAAGATAAAATATTTAAGCCGCAAACTTGCCGCTCAGCTCTCCCACAGGCGAACTACAAAAAGTGCAAGCAATTTTTTTTTTTTTTAAATATTACACATCATGGCCCCGAAAGCCGCAACTGGATAAGCAGCTGGCGGGCGCCTCTCAAAGCTCTTCCAAGGAGGAGTGCACAATGAGCAAATGTTGGCTCTGTCTGCCAAGGGAGCAGCAGGCGGGGCACGAGCTCTGGGGCAGACAATAACTTAAATTAGTTCTGTAGCGGCAAAGCATCTATGCAAGCACAGTCTTGCCTCTGGTAGACAGTGGGCTAACTCTCCCTCTCGCTCTCTCTCTCTCTCTCTCTCTCTCTCTCTCTCTCTGTCGCACTTACTCTCTCGTACTCCGCTTGCTGTTCCATAACAACAAAAATATTACTCATAAATTATCACAAGTGAGTTCATCACACGACTTGCACTTGCTATATTGAGTGGCCGCTTGTATGTCGGTGCAAAACTTCGCCTGGCTGTTACCTCCTCAACAGCTGCTCCTGCATATCCTTTCATACCATTCATACCCTTTTCAACCTGCTGTGCCCGCAACTATGTTTGTACCTCCTCCCGCACATATTTGTAACTAAATCTGTGAGCTCAGCAACAGAAGTTTATGTGCCTGAAAATATGTATATGTGTTTGTGTGCGCCTTGCCTGTTGAACGGTTTGTGGCATGTGGGTAGTGCATATTGTCATAATATTGAATGCATGATATATTGAATTGTGCAGTCAATAAACGTTTTATTATCACAGCCGTATATATTTCGGTTCGCCTCTCTCACAATAGTTCTGCATGAAACTATCAGCGTAAATTGAGAACCATTACAGTGACTAAATCAAGCCAACTAGTTGTACACACTCTCACATGCATATGTGGTGGGTGATGTGGACGTGTATGTCGCAAATCACGATGACAACCCATCAAGGCAGCAACTGTCAATGTTATGTAACATTTATTGCTTTCTATTCACGCTGAGAGAGATTAACTGTGCTGGCGCACAAAAAAAAACAGAAAAATTCATCATCACACTGCTTAGTTTTGCCTTGGGTTGCCTCGGTACCATTGGCATCTGCTAAAGCCACTCGATGCTCACTTACAAAAACTGCATGGCCATAAAGCTAAGCTCGAACTAATTTCCAAAGCCAAATAGGCACAAGGAGCAAAGAAGAAACAAAACGAAACGACTGCCAAGCGTTACAAAAAGCAAAACACTGCCAGCCATGAGAATATTGTCCACGAGGATGACGCAGGATGTGGCACAACAAGCAGCAGCAGCAGCAGCAGCAGCAGCAGCAGCAGCAGCAGACGCAATCTAGCGGATATTGCGCACAGCCTAGGCTAAAACTGCGTAGGCTCAGGGTCGGGGCGGGCACGGTTTGCCAAGGCTGGGACAAAATTGAAACAGTCACTGGAGCCGGGCAACACTCGGATGGTATTGTGTTGCTATCAAGATTTCAGTTAGACAAAAAAAGTAGAGCTGCAAAAAAAAACAACAACTATATAAAAGATTAAGTTGAAATTCAAATACCCTACCTAATTATGTATATATATACAATAGTATTGCAATGAATGTTGAAGAGCTAAAAACATTTCAAAAATACACACAACAAACTTTCTAAAGCCTCTCAAAGCTATAAAAAGTATATAAAGATTGAGAATATAAAGTTTGTTTAATTTATTATAGTTCATACCACATTTTTTATTGCTATAGGATAGTTGAACTTTACTTTAAAGCATCTACCTAGTTCGTGTAATCCGGTATACTTAGTTTTATGTTTGAGATACAAACGAACGAGTATTTAGGGACTTTTTGCTAGCCAATCGCAACAAATTTTGTAATAGCCTCAGTAAGAGTAGAAGTCGCCAAAACGCAAAGAAGTGCTTGGTGACAGTAGGCAAAGGGTGAAGCGATGACAAGACAAATAAAGAAAGAAAAAGCTGAAAAGAAAAAAAAAATAAACAAACCAAAATAGAAGGAGAGGAAAAAGCAGACAAAGAGGTTTACAACTTCTCGTAAGGCGGCTTAAGCGATTTGCGAGTTTATGAAAAGCCAAACACACTTTACACACAATCTTATATGCATGCATATGCATGTGTGTGTGTGTGTGTCTGTGTGTGTCTGAGTGTGTCAAAAAAAAAATGTACAACAAATGGAAAATTGCTTTTTGATGTAGTCAGTCTAGTTGGCCATGCATGCCAGTCGATATCATCATCGATTGGTGTTCTTGGTGTTGGCTAGAATGTAGCACTTTAAGCCGCTTGTTTGACTTTAAGTGCAACGCCAAACTGCTCACCACGATGCATCTGCATGTTGCAGCAGCAGTCACGTTACACATCAACCGTTTGTGAATCGCAGCATATTTTAATCCCAGCACTTTATGTTCCCCAATGCCTATGAAAATCGAAACGATGACGATGTTGTGGTTGATATGGATGATGCCATTGGTCCTTCCACGGACAACGTACGGCGTATCAATATTGTTTTACGATCCCTGCGCCTGACGTTGTATGCAAATTTGGTCACGTAGAGCACCATCACCATCCCCATCCCCACATAACGCTGAAGGAGCCGGCGTATGCAATGCATGTGTTGCAACTGTTGGCAATTTGTGGGCTTTAAATTTGATGGGATGACTGCGGGCCTGCGACTACCTGTCGCCTAGCTTTCATGGCATACTCTCGGCATCACTTTAAATAAATCTCATATAGCTTTACAATCATCTCGTTCACTTTCAGATGCCGCCCAGGCAACGTTGCGCAATGTCAATCTGCTCGTGGAGCCACCGGCGGTGCGACGTGGCCAGTCGGTGGCGCTCCGGTGCGAGTATCAGTTGGATGGTGCACCGCTCTATTCGATTAAGTTCTATCGAGGCCAGTTGGAGTTTTATCGCTTCACTCCCGGCGAGTATCCGCACACAAAGGTCTTTCAGTATCCTGGCATTAAAGTGGACGTAAGTCGAGTGTCCTCTTTTATTTATTTTTTTTTTATTATATTTTATTTTTTATTTATTTATTTTTTTTTTTTTTGATTATTACACTTAATCACTGATATATGTACTTGCAGGAAAGCAGCTCGAATGCCACCCTAGTGGTCATACGCAATGTCAGCTTTGGGCTATCCGGAAATTTCAGCTGCGAGGTGACAGCTGATGCTCCACTCTACTCGACAGCCACCGCTTATGCGCAAATGCAAGTTGTGGGTGAGTACTGTATAATAATAATGGCTGTCCACGCCACGTCAGTCTCATTGGTGCGCCACGGCCACAAGCTGCCTGCAACAACGCCAGCCTCATCTGGATCAAGCGCCTGACCGTTGTCGGCACTTAACATGCCAGCCTGGCCACACTATCAACTCCCCGCCATATTCTTTTAAGCAAACTGCTGCAATTTTAAGGACCTGCGCAAATGCTATATTTACAAAGGATTTCACACGGAAACTTTAATGCCATGGCGACTGTCTCCTAAAGCAGTAATAACTTTTGAAGTTCATTTTTGCAACATAGAATAAGTCTTAATATGTTGCAGCTCGAGTCTCTCGACTAACCAATACTCTGTGTCCACTGAAAAAAAACCAAAGATAACTTGTTGATTAGTTTGTGAATTTAACACAGAAATCAAACAATCGAACTTAATAACTTCAGCTTTGGAACATTCGTTAATCAATTCAAACTATTATTCTTACAAAATAGTTGCTGATGATACATAATCTGAACGTCCATAAAAATAAAACAAATATTTTACTTGAACTTCATAAGACATTATTAACTCTACAAAACCAATCCATACTCCCAAAATACATTATTTTTCAACTCGAAACACACAATGAGAAATCTCAAATATATCTGCTTCACATGTTAGCCTAATACATTTGCTGAGACAGCAAACAAATTGATAAACTGAGAATAAGAAAGTTTTAATAGTACACAATGAAAACTCCGTAAATGTGTTTCTTTATTTACAAGTAATAAACATGAGCCAAAAATGAAGGGTTGCCCAATAAACAATTTTGCTTTTTTAATCTATTGCAGAATTCCCAGAGAAACGACCCCATCTATTTACAGAGCAGACCCGTTACGAGCCAGGCGATGTGCTCCGGGCCAATTGTAGTACGTTGCCGTCAAGACCACGTGCTGAGCTACGCTTCACCATCAACCAGATGCCGGTAAGTGTAACTGGATGCTCCCTGGTGCTCCTTTTGTTTTAATTGCTGCGCGCAGTCGCCTTACAAGTTGGCCAAAATACAACAATGCTGGCTTGTGTGCCGTGTTAGTGAAGCAATGAATTATTTGCATTACTTTGCAGAGTTTGTGGCAGCGCCTAATTAAACGGCTTTGGCTTGGTAAATTGGATCGTAAATCCTATATAATTAGAACAGTCCCTTAAACTCATGTGGACCACATGTGAGAGGCAGGGGTGTAATCTCTGTCAAATTTGTCGTTCATTTATGAATATGATGTTAGTCGAATGAGACCCGTACTTAATTAAAATTTTTGTCTGAAACCAAAAAAAAAGAAAGGTGAGACCTCCACACGCAGAATTAAGTCAACAAACGCAGAAAAGGGTTGCGTGCTTTGATTTGATTGTGCGATTTGCCCTTGTCATTTATCATTACGCAAGAAGGCAACATAAGATGGGAAATATCAAATGGCAAATGCCAAATGCCAAATGGAAAATGGAAAATAGAAAAGGCAACAAATAAGTCACTTGGGTAGCAGAGTCAAACACAGAGTCACAGTCATATGCATACGCATACAGCCTGAAGAGAGGACCAGGATCATTAGTCATTTGGCGGCATTTTCATATTTGCATCAATTTTGCGACTGGGCGCTAATCAGTTGCATAAATCAAGAATGAAATGCCAGCTAGGGTCGGATCGGGTTGGACCAGGGCGGGGCCATCGTTTTTAAAAAGCAAATGGTTTTCATTTTTGTATCCCGTTTTGACCGCAGGGATGTCTAACCTTTTTTTTTCTTTGTAGCATTGCTGTTATTAATCATAGCCACGACATAAAATAAATTACGTTCAACTTGTGCACAGAAATTGCCCCAAAAAAGCAGAGCCGGACAAGTCGTCCGCTGAGCCGGACGCTGGCTTCAAATGAATTTACGAGACAACACTTTTCAACTGACACGCCCATAAGAGTCACAGAGAGCATTCGATTGTCGACTGTCGTCTGTCTTCGTGTGGACACTATTGTCTGTTCTACGACCCACTGCTGCTACCAGGCAAAAGAAAACTTATTAAACGCTTCATAAATTTTTATATTATGTCTACCCACATCATCAGACATAACGTGCTCTGGCAGCTCGCATCCTTCCCGATCTGCTGCTCGCTGTCTCTGTCTCTGTCTCTGTCTCTATATCTCTATCTCTATCTCTGTCTCTCTATACATTTGTGTGTCTTATCCTGCCGTTTTGTATCTGTCGCTAGCTGTTGTCTACTTTTTGGGGCACACACAGATACACACACACGCAACAACACACACAACGACACACGCACACGGTCACATGCAGGCCGTTGAACACTTTATCTAGATGCCGCTTGCTTCCTTCCACTTTCAGTCAACCAACTAATGACAAAAACCGAGACAAAAGTGCGCTGCTTGTATGTGTAAGTGTGTGTGTGTGTGTGTGTGTGTGTGTATGGCATAGAGAGTTTGGAGGTTAACTGTCCGTCTGTCTGCCACAGTGTGCCATATAAAATTTTATGTGTGCTGTGTTTATGTTGGCGTAGACAGCCAACAACAACACAAACAACACGATATTCCATTCATTCTGCTGGCATTGGCCATGCAATTTAGTTTCATATGCCTGGAGAGTAGATGCTTTTCTGATATTGAATTATGATTTCGCTGCTAGCTCTTTAAATGGCAAGCCCGAGGCACCTCTTATTGCAATCCATCGACACATAAATAAGTTATGTCAGATTAAAGCCAACATCGAACAGCATGTGTTGAGATATAAACAAATACTCAGTCAAAATATAGACAAGTTCTGTCTGCGCTCAATGGTTGATTGATAAGTTTGCAAAATGTGTACTCTTAAAAGCTTTCTTTTTATTAGACCAGTGCCTAGGTGGTGGCAACCTAACTTCATAACTGGCATGACTCTTAAAAGATTTAAGAAATATGTAAATATTTGATACTCTGCACATTTTTAAATTTATTTATTTAATACAATAGAAAGTTTTTTCTTTAAAAAAAAAGTAATGGTATTTATGGCACAACTTAGCAAAATTGTCTAGAAATTATGGCATAAACCAAGTTCTATATGCATTACGAAAAAAATCAAACAAGACACATGTTGGCCCAGACGCAGAGGGAATGGGACTGCCGCCGTAACGACTAACATAATTTGTTATAAAGTTTTTGTCATATTAATGGAAAAAAAGCTGAAAATTATTTTTTTTGTGTATCATGGGAATTAGTTGGGATTAGAGCTGTCGAAAGTTTTTTTTTTTTTTGCTTTTTCTTGGAGTTTGCGGGCAGTCAAGTGGCATTCGACAATAGGATCGATTTTTTGATAAATTATTTAGACACAATGAGCCGTATGTAGGGGCATAAAAGTAGAACTACTCAATATGTGCCATAAAGACATAATTAAAGCTGAGCAGCAGCTTTAAGTGGCTGTGATTAATGAATCGACAGCACATGTTGAGAGATTGAAAAATGCTAGCTGAAATCAATAACAAAGCATGTTAAAGAACCATGCAATTTGTGTGTGTTATTTTCTCAAAAAAAATACAACTTGAGAACATTGTGCAAGCAAAGTGTAAATTAACACATATGCAGTAACAAGAAGTTGCTGTTTATATTTTATGTAGACAGTTAAAATGATAGTAATTTTGAAATGAAAATTTCGAAAACTACGTTTTTTTTGTGCCCCTGCAATATTTTGTCTTTTGGTTGTGTTTTGTTTTTCCTTTTTCTCGTAATTAGCATAAGCCTTGCTGGCGCAAATTAACATGTTTTGCAGACAAGACAATATTAATAGAAGGTCATCAAAATGAATTTATCCACGCAAACAGAAACGACATGCAAAATCAACAGAAAGTTTGTTGGCCATTCGAGCAATGTGAATCTTGCTTGAAAACAATTTGCCTGCTAAATGCCTACGCAAGCAAAGCCAAACATTCATTTAATTGCCAAACCGAATGTTTTTGGGTTCGCAGGTTGCAGGGGCTGATGGCTGGTGGCTGGTGGTTAGCGTTTTTGGGTAGTTGTCTGTATTATTTGGCCCTCTGTTGGGGGCTCCGATGCCATAAAGGTAAATCACAAGAAATATGAGGGTATTTACACTTTTGGGTCGCTGCCTCAGCCACATGCTTAATTAAAGCGCTTGGCGTCTTAAGAGTTTCTCGTAAATTACGCGGCATTAAATTCACAAAAGCGTGCGAGCGACACAAGCACAATACACTGAGAGAAAGAGAGAGAAAGAGAAAGGTGGAGAGAGAGAGAGAGAGAGAGAGAGAGAGAGGGGGAGAAAGAGCGAGTGTAAAGCGAGTTAACTAAAAATGGCTTTTTATGTCGCTGCGCCTTTGCCAGCATGAAAATAAAAATAAAATTCAAATATAAAGTTAAGCCAAAAAACGCACAAGAAGAATAATAAATGTCTGCGTTCAGTGTGGTGAGTGTGTAGGGCTGTGTATGAATGTGTGTGTATGTGTGTGAGCAGAGTTGTTATTGTAAAAAGGGTTAAGGGCGAACAACGCAAAGAAACAACAACAGCACAAACAACAATAAAGCGATTTTGCATCTTTTTGTCGTGGGTGTGCGAGCTGCTTGAGAATTGGCTACGCCCAAAGCAACAAAGCTATTCAGATATCCTTGGAAAAAGATACCAGGTATATACCACAAGATGCGAGTGTCCATTAGCTTCTATATTAGTTATCTTAGCTTGCTGCAAATAGGGTGTTTAAAAGTCGACATTGCTGCTGCTGACCCAAATTGAAGGCGAGCAAGCTGCAATTTCTTACACCTTTTTAGGGCACTAAACAGCGCAAAATACATGCATAAGTAAATGGCTCTCAAATGAGTTTGTAAGTGGAAATGAAATGCGTATTTATTGTATTTAAATTGCTAGCGTTTCGCGGAGGGTTCAGATTGTCATTTGAATCAACAACAGCAGCAACAACAGTAAGAGCAGCAACAAACAAACGGACATGCAGCAAACGGAAATGACAACACAACCATTTGCAAAATGGCGCCTGCACTTCCTGCATCGACAACAAAGACCATTTGCGACTAAAAGCTGAGCATGATGTAGTTAACGGCTTTTCTTTACACCCGATGCGTAAAGATGCGCCAAACGGAAATCATGAGTCCCAGTCAAGCAACCAAGCTGCAAATCTCTGGCAAATAAAGCGGAAAGCTAAATAAAAGGCCGAAATGAATATGCATATGCACATGCAAATGCCCGAGAACGATTTAAGCTTGACGTAGAATAGCATCAACAGAGAGAGAGAGAGAGAGAGAGAGAGAGAGAGTGAGAGAGAGAGAAAGAGAGAAAAGGAGAGAGAGAGAGAGTGGGACGACGAGAGAAAGTGGCGAACAGATTTAGGCGCAGTTTCCTAGAAGTTTTCTACCGCTGTTGTTGATGTTGCTGTCATGACGGAAATGAAATTTTTAAATGCACACAATGCAACCGGTATAACAGGCAGGGCGGCACGCCGGGAGGCTGAAAGACGGATGGCCGCATGGAAAATGTTACCACAGTTGCTGTTGCAGTGGCAGTAGCAGCAGCAGTGGCTCGGTTACTCAAAGGCAAAGTGCAAATAGTTTGCATTGCATGCAGCGTTAACAACCAACAACCAACGAGCAACACGAACCACCATCACTTCCACTAAAAACAGGAGCAACATTCAAGCGAACAACCTTGAACAGCAGACACTCAAACAAACTGTCGGACATTTGGCGAGCCGAAAAACCAGGCAACAGGGCGAATGAGTGCTCCTCTTGTTGTAGCTTCTGTTGATTCTGTCGCAGTAAAGCTGCTGCTGCAGTGTAACATTGAAAACTGTTTTTAAAAGCCAACAGAGGCAACATAAAAAAAATAACAACAGCAACAAAAATATGACATGCCATGTCCGTTCATTCTCAGTATCCGCTTCCTTGCATCGTTGCAAGTTGTCCCGTTAGCCATTGCCAGTTACCCGTTGGCCGTGGAATGTTTGCCGTTGGCTGCAGCACTTTTGTCGCCACTGTTGTCGCAACTGTGCCTCTTTCCCCATGCTCGCCTACCTCCCCCTTCCCCTTTCCCCCACTCAAAAGTCGGCACATGACTTGCCAGTGGCTGGCATTGCCGCAAGTGCAACATGGTTGTAATAACCCCCGCAGACGACAAATTGCCATTCATATTCGTTGGATATACTCGCATGGGGTTACCAACACATATCGGACAGGAACTTTTCTTTTGCAGGCATTCGCACTCGGCAAATATATTTTTAGTTTGCCAACCGGAAGCGGAAAGCAAAGTCAGTTTCAGCTGCACGCAAACACTCCCACATGCACATAGCTAAAGGACTATGAATATTTTAAAGCATACTTTTAGAATTACGTATGTACTTCATATGCATATGGTAGTTAGTTGCTTAGTTAGCTGTTGATATAAGAAGGGGAGTAAGGTTAAATGCTTTAATGGGCTCACAATTCTCAACTAATCATACAAATTACACCAACAACCTCCTTACGCAGGTGACCACAGAGGAAACACAATACATTCGCACGGTTGACAATCTAATAGCATCCAGGCTGAGTATCAAATTGCAATTGCAATCGGTGCACTTTGTGGCCGCCACCACCAATGCCAATGGAAATGGCAATGTCAACACACATGGCCGAGTTGCTAATATGCAAAGGACAAATGCATTGGGCACTGGAACAGGCTCTGGCTCTGGTACTGGTGGTGGCGCCGGACACGCTGGAGGACTCATGTTACGCTGCACGGCTCAAATTGGTGATTTATATCAAGAGTACAAGGAAATTGAATTGGGCACGCCACAAAAGGATCCAGTGCCGGCGAGAGGTAAGCCACAGCCACAGCCGCAACAAACACAACATAACTCGGAAAACACCTTCCACACTTGTTTTCTAAACGCATTAAATCACTCATTGCAGTTACACTCTCATCCGGCTCAGGGTTGAGGAATTTCTTGGAAACCTATTTCTACACATCGGCAGCTGGCCGAGTATTCAGCGTAACCACATTTTTCATTTGCTGCCTAATCTCCATGTTCTCGATGATGATAACAACAAGCGGCAGCTAAATGCAAAATTGATTACATTCTAGCTACAATTACTTACATACATAGAGAGTACAGCTTGAACATGAAATGTGTACAGCATAGATAATGGCTTCGATGTGTGTGGCCAATCGTATTAAGCTTAGCCGCTACACTTCCCCCTCCTCCAATCCTGCCAGTCAACCGAAAAAAATATCCGCTCTAACCACTAAATAAAATACACATTATATTCATATATATGTTGTACACATTCACATGAAATAATACCATTTTTGTAAATATTTTTTTATGATGTAAGCCCTTGCACGTACATACATTAGATGGAAAGCACAGCCACACACACACACACACACACACAGTCTGCCAGTCGAACAGACTGAGAAGCGGACAGACAGGCAGGCAAGCATGGCTACTTGTTAATTAATGGATTATTTAATGATGCATTAAATATTGCATAAATTATTATTTCAACTGCATTTTACTCCATTAAAAACCAAAACTGCAATAGCACTTTGAATATCAACTTTAAATATAAGTAATTAAATAAAGACCTATACAAAAACGCAATTTAAAAATTGTAAAAATAAGGAAATATATTAAAAATAAAAACAGCATAGATATTCGAATACAAACATATATATTGCATTCATTTGCGGGTGATTGGAATGATAATAGCAATGCAAATTAAAGTAAGTAAATTCCGAATTAATTAATTTTTAATACTAAACATAAAATAATAAATATTACTACGGATTAACATATTTGTCTCTATTAATCTTTTCTATCTACAAAATTAAGTTGTTATTATAATTGTTGTGTACCAAATAAAAATGTATAAATTATTTTTGGATGGCCAATTAGTTTATCAGTTAGCAAAAATCAAAATCGTAATTAAATTTATATGTAAGCTGAAGTGTTAGTTAAAAGCTTTGAAGCATAAAAGTTTTCTTGACAGTAGATTCGTCATTTACTCTTTCATTTAAAGAGCTCAAGTTTTCCATTTAATGCTGTTGCATAAATCATTTTTATTTTTTCGTTTCAATTGCCTGAACATATTTCAAATTGCAGCTTGTACAAGTGCCAGTGTACATTTGCTTAGGGCGTGGCCAATGACAGCGAAAAGAAGCAAGCGAACGGAACTCCTCGGATCGTGGATGGGTAAAATTTGTGAATGCAGCCCAGTTAGCACAGAGGCGCAAAATGCATTTGCTATTTGCCATTTGCCAGGGCAGCAACTTGGCCGTAGGCCAGTTGAAAGTAATGAAAAAACTGCGTTTGCCAAAAAGCAAATAGCAGCCAAGGCGAAAAACTGAGTTTTGCCCACTTATGCAAGCAGCCGAGCGAGCGGCAAATAAAAACCAAACACCGAGCCAGCTTCAAGGCAGCACCGCAAAACGGAAACGGAAATCGGAAGCTGCAACTGTGCAACGCAATCGGCCAAAGAAGCACAGCACAGCAACAGAAATAGGCGGCACCCGGACACAAGGACAACAACAGGCGAACCGGGCACGACGATAAAAGTGTTGCAATTTATGGGCAGGCTGGCCGGCGCCCAAGCTCTGTCCTTAGCCCTTAGCATCTAACCTAGAACTGGCAGGCAAGCAGGCAGCTAAAGTTTCTGGCTAATTGATTTTGCGATTTTATCTTTTAATGACTTTTCGCCGAGTGCAGCGCTAAATTCCGTTGCCTTATATCTATATATAAAATAATATATAAATTTCAGAAGTCGGCTTATTAGACTTTTCCTTGCTTTAATCAAATATAGTATTTTCAAGCTACATTAATTTACAATAAACTTACTTTGAATATTTTTACTTTACCTAAAAGAGTGCTTTAAAATTTTGATTTTTGATTTGACAAACGCGTTTAAAAACGCACTAAAAGTCGCGCTTAAATCACAGCTACAAAAGTGCTCGCCAATTTGAAGGGCCAAAGAAAAAATTGTTTTAATAACGTATGATAATTTTCAGGCGTCCGTCCTAATAAAAATTCCTTGGGCATGGCTCAAAAATAAATAATTTTAAAAAATCATTCAATACACTCATCAACATTTTTGAGGTTTCGCGATGTTGAACCAATTTTTATTTCATTAAAACTCAATTAACTGTTGAAATTGTAAATTGATTTCAATTGATACATTATTTAATGTCTAGCGACACTAAAGTAAAATATGTGCACATTAAAACAGGAAAGATTCTTCAATTTTTAGCAGGAATTCAAGAGAAAAGGCTAGAAAGAAAAAATAATTACCTTGAGCACTATTAAACCTTGCACAAGCCAGGAGAAAAGACTTGCCCGTTTAGGGCTTCGCTCTTCATTTTGGTCGCGGTAAAAAAAATGTTATACCCAAATTTGATGGCTAATAAAGCTCACGACCTTTTTCAATGGCTCTTGTCCTTGGCCTTACCAATACCCACCTGCTAATATTTTCGGCAATGGAAAATGACATTGAAAATGTTGACAATAATACAAACATAACCTTGAAGTATTGTGAATGTCTAGTACTTTCGAAATTACATTAAATGGTTCAAGGACACACAAATCAAGTTACAGACAGACAAGCACTCCTTATACCCAAAACGGTATTTTTCTTTTATCAGAGAAATATGGCCATCCTCTCATTGTTTTCCTTATAGGCTAGCTACTGTGTGAGAAGCACGAGCACTCATCAATGTAAAAAGTTAGGTTGCGGCATTGGCTAAACTTACCACAAAAAAAATAGTGGCATACTTTCATGAGCACGCAAACGGCGAGAAACAAGTCTTTAATTTTGATTAGATTAATTAGAATCTCATGGTGAAACTCTATTGAGCTGTATTCAATGGTTAAGGGTAATGGTCTAAGAACCTAAATACTTGTAAAAATTGTACTCACAGAGCGAAGATGATGTCTCAAAATAAGAAAAGTCTTTTTACATTTTGGATTTCTATATCCGTTATCCGTTTATTATATTCATTAAATCGAGTTCGTAAAGGGTTTATGAATTTATATCACGACGCTATATGTCACACAATGCCAAATAGTTTGTTATAGCCTAGACAGAATCCAACCATTCCGCTGCGATTTTATACATCTGCAAGCTTCAAGATATTTTGCAGCTGTATAACTGGTTAATAACACAAAGCACCTGATTGTGGTCATGATATCCGACGCATATTTGGCACCCGCATCCATCAGCTGAATGGCCCATCACGTAACTCATGATGAATTGTGAGCTGTGAGATGGGTTTATCCCATCTCACCATTTCCAGTTGCAGCGAAACTTCACGTGGAAACTGCAATGGATATCAACAACATGGACGAGATAGTCAGCGATGCTGGCGAGCAATATGAGTATCGCAGCGTCGTGACTGAAGATATTTGGATTCTGTTGTCTGGTATATTCAATTAACTTGACACTTAAAAAGTCATAAAAATAAAAATTCCAATGATAAACAATGCAACAGTTAGATATTTCAGACACATGATAAATGAAATAATATAAACAAACATGTTAGATTGATAAGATAATAAGCTAAGACCACATTTTATTTCATTTTATTTATTGGATAGACTTATAATTGAATGATAGCTGTCAGATATATACAATAACATTTGTTATTATAAATACTTTAATAGAAACCGGATTCATCTATTTCCATCAAAGTTCCTTTCTACGAATGGATATTTCATTCCTGTGCTTGGAACACAATTGCTTCGTTAGCATTTAAAACACACTTATTTCTGGTTGAACAGAAAAAAAATTGGAGCGAACAATTTATGTTGCATGCTATGAATATTTGATGTTATTGAGCACTTTAACTTTCAGCATTGTAGTGAAAGCTTTTTTTATGTAATTGCATTTGCGGATTTTGTCAAATGAAATTTTCGCATGAAATTTACATATATTGCATATTGTTCGGCGCAGGCATGTGCAATTTGCTGACAAATCATCATTAATATCGCGGCTAGGTAAGTTTCCGTGAGTGAGTGTGTGTTTGAGAGTATGGCTGTGTGTGGGAGTATCTGTGTGTTTTGTGTGTACGTGCGTGCGTGGGCTTACATATGTGTGACTACAATGGTACTTCGTTAGTGCAACAACCAAGAAATTGCTATCAAAATTAAATAAACATATTTATGAAACAAATTTGATTTTGATATTTTTGTATGAGTTTTTCACACCTCATGAAAAATTCATGCAGTTTATGGATCAATGCCGTTTAATTGTATTTTTGGGATAGTGATATATTTTTGAAATTCCACAAACCAATATTATTAAGCAACTGATTATTGCAAAATGCATTTCCATCGATTTTTATTTTGTTTTACAAAATAACAAATATATTTCGCAACCACAAAGGTCAGCGAGCTAATTATCTAACGAAATTGATTTTGTTTTTATAAATATTTTTTATAATTCCCACAAAAACACATCTCGAATAGTGATAACCTTTTTAAATTCCACAAACTAATATTAATAAGCAACTGCCCATTGCAAAATGCATTTCAATCGAGCCAACGAGGCCAACGAGCTAACTATCTAATAAAATTGATTTTCCTTTTAAAAATATTTTTAATAACAGCCACAAAAACACATTAGGCAAAAAGCTATGCTTTATTATAAATATGTATAGTTATATTTTGCTTTTGGAATATTAAATACTTTAACAATGTAAAGTAATAAACCTATTTTACGCGTTCATATGATATATAAAACCCCGTTTGCGTATTAATTTGAATTTAATGCAAATTTGCAATTATAATAAATATTGCAATAATTTCAGAAATGCAATTTTGTCATTTCATTAAAACATAATCAGTATAAATTAAATGATTGGTGTAATGCAAACGATAGTAAACAAAGGAGAACTTTCCAGACCGACTGCGAAATACTCTCACTCCAATAAGTCAAACCATCTGATAACAGGTGGCTGGGTGTAGCCAAGAAATATCGGTCTTTGAAGGAGGTTCCTTTAAAATTGCGGTGATATATGCTTTTAAAAATTTTGAGGGCGGGAGTGGGCGTGATCGAAAAAATATTAAAGGAGGTTCCTTGTAATCTTCCTTCCAAGTTTGATAACTGCAAATATATTGGGGGAGATATAGGCTTTAGAAAATTTTTGAGGCAGGAGTGGGAGTGGCCGAAAAACATTTTGGAGAACTATCTTAGTAGTCTGTCTTCCAAGATTCCTAACTAAAGCTCTTATATTTTGTGGGCCGGGTGGGCGGCGTCCAAAATTTCAATATCAAACAAAGTATGGCTTTATTAATTTGCATATTGTCGACTTAATCGATTTCCTAGTCTCTTAGTGGACGTAACACTCAAAATTTTACACTTCAATACAAATCCAATGTACTATGATACCTTCGGTGTCAGAGTATAATTAGCTGGCACAGTTCGGAATCAGTGCCATAGACCAATGCCATCGAGCCATAGCCTTAAATCCTTCTTTAAACTGCCCGCGCCATCAGCAACCTGTCAGGTGTACGTGTGACCGACAAAACCGAAGGACTGACAACAGGGTGTATTCAACAGCCAAGCAAACAGACCTCGGGGTCAAATCAAAAGCAGATGGTCCACTCAGATAAAAAATATAGTAAATCGTCAGAAAATGAAGATAGCCTTACAAATAATTTCTAAATATATGAAAAG